GGGGAGCCGGGAGTGTGTGGTCCCGCCTGCCAATGGCCGATGCAGTGAGCGGCTGGGGGCACGGCTGCGGTGGCATCAACCTCAGCTCTTCCTCCCTCCTGGGGCACAAGCATCTTGGCAGAGTTTTAGGATTCCCTGTGCAGAGCAGACTGCAGCCATGTGCCTGCTTGGTTGGGGGAACACTGCAGCCTGGGGAGCCTGGGGGATGCAGGCATAAAGCAGCAGGCACTGGGGTCTCCCCTTTGCCCTGTGTCCCCCTGTCCCCGCCCAGGGCTCTCCCTGGCAGCCGCAGGCAGAAAAAGCGGCATTTTCCATAGCTGCCGGAAATGCAACATGAAGCAGAAAGAGGAAACGGTGAAACGATGTCATCAGGTCTTTTGGCGGAACCACGGCGACAGCACCGTGTGCTTGAGTCCGCTGGCATGCCGTCCGGAAGCCTGAGTGTACACCCGTGTGTGTACAGTAGCCGCGTGTGCAGCATCGTGGATGTGTATGTCTGTACAAGGGTGATGTCACAGGCTGAGCTGGACATGCTCGGGGACGTGCCTCAGGGCACCAGGGCTTGTGTGCCCCATCAGACCTCTGCCACATGCACCTCCTGCTCATCCCATGCAGGGGGACTAAGTTAAAGGCTAAAACCCAACTGCACAGCTCAGCACCAGTTTTGGGCTTGTATCCACTCCCAGAGCTCTCCCCATACACCAAAATACCGGCTGCAGCGTGTGAGGATGGGAAAGACTTTAAATTTAGCGTTGCCCAAAAGAGCGACAGGTGCTTTCTGCACCAAGGCTACTTAGCAATGTGTTAACAGCAGTATTGCTGCCTGGGCTGGATAAGTCTGGATAGCTGGGGCTGAGCAGGGAGAAGGCAAAGAGCTCTCGGAAAGCAGCAGCAGCACCAACAGTGCTGGCTCCCGCTTCTCACGCCTGTTCCTGCTGTGTCCATGTGAAATCCCTCCTGCCTTGCCAAGTGCTGGCAGCTGCAGCCCAGTGTGTGGCACGTGCTTTGGATTTGCACTGTGCCGTGCAGCTGGGAGCCAGTTCCAGCGTGGCTGGCAGTGGCTCAGCCCTCCGGGGATGGCAGGGGAGGCATTACCCTGGCAGCCCTCAGGGAGAGGGATGGCCCTGGTGGCTCGAGGTGCTCACGATTAAACTCTCAGAGCTGCCAACCCTGGGGCCACATGCCCAAACACGAGAACAGCTTCCAAAACTGCAGGTCCTTGGGGAGCCCTGATGCTTTGATACCTGGACCAGCACCATGGCTCCTCGGTCAGCGATGGGGGGAGAGGTGCCAGGTAGCTGCCTGCTCCGTGCCAGGAGTTTAATTGCTTTCCGCTCTCATGTCCCTCCCTGTAGCTGCCGTGTCCAGCTGCTGACTCACGGCCATGGTGGCTGCAGCCCTGGCTGGGGCAGGGTTATAAGCACCCAGTACCACCACCAATGCTCCTGGCCCAGACTGCTATTTAATGCCAGTAGTGGGGTTTGTTCCCTCAGGGGTGGGTTTTAGCTTGCCATAGGATGGTTTAGTCACCTGGCTCTGCCCTCGCATCCAGTTTGCTGGGGAAGTGCAGAGCTGACAAGGGCCCCTGCCACCCATGGGTGCTCCAGCCACGCTCCCAGCCAGGGGGCGGAACCCAGGGCTCACACCAGCATCTGGGATGTGAGACACATTGGTCCAAATCCTATCTCAAACAGGTTTCCCCTGTGACTTGAGCCAAGTCCCTCAGCTGCTCCCTCCCTCAGTTTCCCCTGTGGAGTGTTAACCTTGGTCTCAGCAAGACCTGGCTGCACTGAAACACGACATGGAGGATTTCCAAGCTTGTATCTGCTGGCCAAGCCCCTGGCTGCCTCTGCTTTGCCTCCTCATGCTGCAAAACCTGAGCTCTGGCGCTAACAAGCCCCAGTACTGTCCCTTTCAGCTGGAGAGCTCATCTGCTCTCCAGCATTTGGTACAAATTACCTCCTGCTTGTGCGCAGCCTCTGGGCCCAGGTGGCTTCCTCTCCTCCCCTCCTGCTGCCACCCCACAGCCCAGGGGTCCTTGATCTGGTGTCCACCCTCCATGCAAGAGATGTAAACCCAATTTTCTTGGTTTTGGCATGAGGGCCACAAGCTGGGCTGTCCTGCCCAGGCAGAGCAGCAGCCCCATTGCCAGGGAGCAGCACATGGGGTTAGATGGGGCTGCAGCATGGAGGGTCCCTGTGGGAGGGATGCTGCCATACTCGAGGCTGCCCTGGGGTCTGCCATCATATCATGCCACCATGCCATTTCCGGCAGCAGTGGCTTTGCCCAGGGGGTCCCTGCAGGTCAGTACCTGCCCCCTCGGGCTGCCTGAAGCCCCAGCCTGGGGGTGTCTGCTCCAGACTCACGCAGACCTGTGGTCCCCGTGATCTCCATCGCTCCATGACCGAGACACGTGCCTGGGGATGGAGGACCCTTCCCCAACCTCCAGCACAGTACGGAGCCATTCTTGGTTGCACTTAACCCAGGGCTGGCTTGAGCAGGACCATCCCTTTCCCGTGGGAAGGGGCCAAAATCCCCCAGGCGCCAGCGGTGGTTAGCACAGGGCAGTTATCACCATCCAAACATGTGTCTCCTCCTAGTGCAAGCTGGTAGCCTCACCCCCCTGATTGCGGGGAAATGCCTCTATTTTGGCATTTCCAGCACTGCTTGCATGGCCGGACGCAGGGTGCAGTGTCGGGAGGGCTTTGCGGGAGGGAGGCGGGGAGGGGGGACCTTGGAGCAATGTAGGAGCAAAAGCACAGGCAGAGGAGGGCAGAGGATGCTGCAGCTTGAGCCCCCTCAGGTTGTGGCCCTGTGAGTGCCCAGCACTGCTTCCCAGGCTCAGGATGCTGCCTGGCTGTGAGCAGGTTAACAAGATCCCATCACAGCCTAAACTAATAAATTCTGTGGGTTTTAGTTCTTTCTTTTTTTTTTTTTCTTCATTTTTGGGGCTTGTTTTTTTAGCCATAAAAACTAATAAACCCAAATACAAAAGCTGCATTTTTTTTACTACAAAAGCAGCTGGTCTTATATAACGATCTGATCCTAAAGACTCAAGCTTTATAAAAAAAGAAATCCTAGCACTTGAAATACAGGGAAACAGGAGATAAACAGGACAGCATGGGAACCACCCGCCTGGGGCTGGGCAGCGCTGTGGCCCCCAGCGAGGTGAAATGATGCACTCGAAATACCCCAGACGTCTGTGGCTGAGCATAACCCTTCCCTGGCTGGAGAAAATTACTCAGTCCTCAATCTGCACTCCAAGTAACCTCCTCTTACGTACCACATGAGACAGCCACACACTTTGTTTTTTCCTCCTCTGCCAAGTTGTGCAACAATGTGCACACAGAAAACTTGATATTTTATAAAACTCGATAAAGACACAAACCGTACTTACATCCTCTCTGGCCTTTCTGCTTGACTCAGCGATAAGGATTTGGGCGTTTCTGGCTCATCTCCTGCCCACGCCATCCTGGGGCTGTGTCTTTTCCCTGAACCTCTCCCTGTCTGCCAGCATCTTCCCGGAGAGGGGATGCCCCAAACTGAGCTCAGCTGATTACAGGCACCAACACAGAGGAGCAGAAAAATCGTCTGCACAGCCCCAAACTGCAGCTCTACAAACTCAAACTCTTCCAGGGGTTATCCTATGTCCTGTACTGATGACAACTCGCTCAGGCAGCAGATCGGAGCCTCAGGCTGTTCCTGGGAATTCACCGAAGTCTGGAATTCTTTAGACAGAACAATGTTGCCCAAAACCCCCTCGAGTCTGGCCTTGAAAGCAATGGGACTGATTTACAAATCAGGAGCTGAAAACACCGCACCATTTTGCAGTTGCAGGATTGACTTTGAGCCTCGGAAACACACCTGGGGAGGAGATAATGCTTTTTTACCTTCTTCTCCATGCTTCAGATATGGGATTTTTTTTTTTTTTTTAATACAAACTACATTTGTCCTGAGATCCCCTGATGCCAGAAATCAGAGTTTTTAAAGAAAAGCACCAAAATAGCATGAGAAAAAATAACACAACACAGCAATGCTGACTTAAATATACTTCATGCCCTTAAAATGACATGGATACAGTGACTATCTGCCCTGGAAACTCCCCCAGCATATTTTCTGTTTATTAAGGACAGAGCCCAAGTCACACACCAGTTCTTCCATTACAAACCAGTACCTGGAGCCAAACACTGCGTAGGTAGAGAATATAAACTTGCTGTACCCAGTGCGAGAATAACGCACCAAACCCTGTCTTGACCCTATAACATCTTTGAGAAACCCTCCTGGCCTCGACCCAGCTGAAGCTGAACCAGCTTGAGCGGTGCTTTCTATTTGGGAACCACGCTGAGGTTTCAGGCTGCCAGCTCCCCCTCTGAGCGATTTTCCTGGGAAATCGCAGACCCTGGGAATGCAGAAAGTCCTGGGATTTTGGGAAATAACAGGCAATATAATCACTAAATGACATGGCTTTAAGCAAGCAACAGCATTACGGGTTGTAAACCTACCCCAGCCGCCAGCAGCGCAGAGCACAAGGATCCCGAGAGCCACGCAGAGTTTTCCCATCTTCTCCTCCAAGCCCCGAGCGTGGGGGGCTGCTTGGACCAGCCCCGCCGTGAACGATGGAGAGCAGCTCTGGGGCAGCCGGAGTTTTGAGCAGTCCAGGAGATGAATCATGAGTCTGGGTATATGACACACATGGCAAGCAGGGCCGGCCGGAGGAAACTGCACTGGCTGTCACTCAGTTTTGAGTCAGGGAGTGCCCCCGCCCGCTCTGTCTGCAGCTCCTCATGGTTTTTTTTCTCTCACAGCTCCGACAAGGGCCTAATAAACTCTGGCAGCAAGTACACGGCACTGGTGACCTACAGCCCTGGGGCTGGTAACAGGCTTTTTCCCATAGGCTCTTTCGCCTGTTTTTAATTCCTTGCGAAATCTTGCTCACTCCCTCCTTTTATTAACTCTTGCATGAAAGGCAGCCTGGGTTTTACACCCAGTCTGAGCTGCCTCTGAGTTCAAGGATTTAAGGGGAAATAGAACAAATACATACAGATAGGAAAGTGTGGGTTCTCAGGTCCCCTCCTCGAAGCACTGGTCTGGTGCAAATGGGACTATCTCTGCTGAAACAGAGCTGGGAGCTGAGTAAGACCCAGCCAAGAACTGGACCTGGTGAAACCAGCAATTTGGGTATAAACCTGGACATCACAAGGGCAGGGAAGTTCAGCTTTGGGTCAGATAATTTGGACCTGATTTTCTTCTCACTTGTATTGTTTTTTCCCCTCTGTGTCCTCAGAAATTGGTTCTGTACTGAGCAAATACAGGGAGTTGGATCTGCACAAGAATTGCCCCTGCTGAAATGCTGGAACTGCTTGTGGGTGCCTCCCGAAGGGGTTTTATAAACTTCTTGTTCCCCTGCAATACCAAGGTCCTTCTTGGAGATGGGGAAACTCGGGCACTCAAAATATGGGTTGGGGGGCAAAAGGGAGAGAAGGGCTGTTTCCCTGGAGCCCTGGGCTGCTCCCTCCCACCAGGTGACAGTGGCTGGGGACAGTAATGACACAACCCTGGGTCAGGACGATCCAAAACACAGAAATACCAGACAGCAGAAAACGAGCTCGCGTGGGTGCTGAGAGCTGCAGCCACAGCCTGGCAGTGCCAGAAGCTGTGGGGCGATGTGCAAGTCGCTGTATGAGAACCACAGCCCCACGCCAGGAGAGATGAGGATAACAGCATCTGCCCCAGTGCCGTGTGGCTCTCAACGAGAGATGATGGTGTTTGCGAGGGTGAGAGGCAGATGGGGACTCAGCTTCAGGAGCCGGGGACTCTTCTTGGCTTTAAAAGAAGTTTTGGTGCCTCTCTGCTTCCCCACTCAGACCCACCGTCCCTGCGGGGTGCTGCTGCCCTCCCGCGGCTGCGTGGGCTCTGCTCAGTGGAGGATCATTTTCCTCCTGGGATCCAACTCCCTCCACATGATTTGTTAATGAGGATTATGGTAAAGGGGACTAGGAGAATCCCATCGGCCCTCATGCAATGTCAAAAAGGGATGCACCTTGGCTGGGACATCAATACAAACCCCAAACCTGCTTTCTGGGGGGCTCTAGATCTCGCCCTGCTCCAGATCCCGGAGCCATCTCTCACTGCAGACCTCATTAGCCAGTTTTAGGGCATCTAAATTCCTGCTTTTCCTGCATGGGTCCTTCCCTCCCTGCCTGGAAACGCCGCCTGTGTGGCCTTTCCCTGTTGTGCAGGATTTTCTGGCCACACGGCAGCCTGTCCCTGTACCACCCCATGAGCATATCTGATGCTTCATGGATGGGACAATGAATTTCTCTAAGTTTCTACAGAGAGAAATGTGGGAGCTCTGCTTGGCTCTGCATGCCCCGCATATCCAACCTGCCATGGATCTCTCAGGCCCTCTTCGCTGGGGGACTCATCCTGCCCAGCAGCTGTTTGCTTGAACTAGCAAGTGCTGCAGGCTGCAAAGGGACACACTGTGTGTCCTGAAACTCCCTGCCCAGCATAAACTGGGATACTCCAGCCGTTGCTTCCAGCGTAGCGCAAAAACTTTGAAGAAGGAAAAAGGTCACAAAATGAAGTTTTTGATCTGCCTGCAGCTACTTGAGCTCTTGTCCTGCCTGAGGACAAGGATGGTATGAACTTAATTCAGCGCATTTGGATTGAATTTCCCTGCCGACTGCAAGAAGGTGCTGCTTGTCCTGAAAACATCACCATGATGTTAACTCCGGGCACTGTGTAATAGATAATGGGATGCTCTGGGTATTGAAGTCCCTGTTTGGATTAAGGCAAGAAGCAGGCAGCGGTGCTTGAGAGCTGAGCCGCCCCATGGCCCCAGCTGCCCCATCACCGCAGGCTGTGACCCAGGAGTGATGGGTGCAGCAGCCCGAATCCGTGCTCGGGCGTGCGGGGAGAGGAGCGGCTGGAGCTGGAGCCACCAGAGGGAGCAGAAACTCCTTCAGTCTGGGAGCGAGCCGGGGAGAAGAGCTCCCACCCGGACTGGGCACCGGGGATGCTATGGTTTCCCGTGGGGATTTTTTCCTGGCCCTCAGGTTAAACACGAACAGATGCTTTTGTTCGATCAGGGCTTTCCACCTCCCTCCCACAAGCGCTTCTGCTGCAAACTGCCCTCACAGACCGGGCAGCCCTTCAGCCACATGCAAAACAAGGAGGAAAAAGCAGCAAGTAAAAAACAAACAGTTTTTGAGCCCCTAAAGTCACAGCAGCAGAACAGGGACACAGGTCCCAGTCACCTAAAAGGAAAATCGATTGACACTCTCTCCACCAAGCCACCCTCCATCCTCAGCCAGCCAGCCTCACACTCCTGCCTTTAGGTGCAATTTATCAGTTCTCATTTAGCTTTATTAAAAGCCCCTTCAGGGGCCGGGCAAAGAAAGCGAGCCACGATGTACACAGATAAATCAGGACAAGGACCTCACATCATAGTTTGAGAGTGATCTCCTGTTCTATGCCATCCAGACACGTTTCCAGGCAAACAGCAACCGGCAAAGCCAGGAAAGCCGGGACAGGGCAGTTCCACAGGCACAGCCCTGGGACAGGCAGGATCAGGGCCAGACACGGTTGGACACCCCGACTTGGACTTTCGCTTTGGGAGCTTACGCAGACAAGGAGAGGGGAGTGACAATGAAACTTCCCCTGGGATTCCCTTGGTGGGGCTGAGGGACCCGAAGGAGAAGGTGTGTGATGCTCCAGCCCTGGGCACAGCAGTGATGCTGCTGTAGGACCCAGAGCTGGGGACAGGGCAGGGAAGGGGCATCGAGCAGAGATCAGGGTGCAGCATCACACTGCTCCCCTTCGAAGGGGCTAAAGGAGCAGGAGCAGGGGAAGAGGGAGACAAAGGTGCCTGGGGAGGAAACCCCCAGCCCGAGGAAGACAAGGATGCAGAGAGGGGGATGGATCCAGCTCTCATCTGGAAGCACAGGCATCACTGAGCAGAGCTGGGGGTGGACTGGGTTGGATTGGGCCAGTGCTGCTCTAAGGAGTGGGTGGAACAGAGCAGCAGCCAGGGATCGGGGAGAGCAGCACTGACTTGAGGCTCACGGTGGCCTGGGGTGGGTGGGACAGGGACCTGCCAACGGTTCAGGAGAAACACTGACGTTGCGGGCTGGTTTCAGGAGCAGGTGGGGGGGCTGGGAGGAAGGATGAGTTAGGTGCCAGTCCGCAGGGCCTTAGGGGTCAGCGTCTTCCTGGGGATGGCACAGGGGTGGGTGTGGGCACTCGTGGCAGGGCAAAGGGGGAGTGCACACGGGTGGGGAAGGGGTGGGCAGCCTGGGTGAGCGTGGAGGGGGAGGAAGGCGGTCCTGGGGGGGAGGCTGGAAGGGGGTGGAGTTGCTGTTTTTTTCTTTGAACACGGTGAAGACTTTAGCTTGGAACTTGCATTTGTGGAGCTCCCAGCCAGCAGGAAATCGCTCCCCC